AATAAATAAAAAACTACGTACTAGAATAAATTTCCGTTTTAATAAAAATCGGGCGTCACTTTTGGTGCTGACTGTACATATGCACATACACAGAGTCATAATATGGATAATTATTTTTGAAGGCGGACCGGAAATTTTCTGGTACTACAATTGTGATCCTAAAATTTACGTTATGTGCGTATTATTTAAAAGTAGGGTCCCGAAAAAATTATATCTAGCATTTTTGTCGTCTTCAAAAATAATTACCCATATACACATGTGGTGGAAATCCAAATAAAGTTACATAAAGTAGAACTCGACGTTTTTGTATTTATGTGAGGAATTTTATTGTTCTCTAAATCTTTAGTTTGTCAGACCACTATATACTGTATTTTTTTTAAAGAACATGCGAATGTACTATGCAATGCCTTCCTTCAATTCGTCTCCCACGAATTATCCGTTAATATTGTTTCCATGCAATAAATTCCGTGGAGAAACATTAACCGCTAAAAAACAACTTCCGCGAACCCAACACGGGATTGATATGATAAGGCATTTTTTGGTCACAAACGATCCGAAGGTAATTCCGTCCGTATTCAATGCTTTGCTTACGTCTTCCAACATTCTAGATTAATGGAATAAAAATATATATACTATACATGCTTGTACGCACAATCGACACTGCATTAATAAATTTCCAATTTGAGTATATCATTTTTCTTGTACACATAACCTAATGTTTGAACGATAGGCCCCTAAAGAGAAATGCAGGTGTTAATTGATGCAGGAAGTACTAATTAATTGTACGTGATTGTTTTCATATGACGCTATCCTTTAAAGAAAAAAAGTGTTCACGTGAACTTTTTTTGGCACGACGCTTCTTTTCTATAATTCTATATTCAACCGCAGCTCTGAAATTTTGGTTTAAAGTTTCGTTTTTGTGACGAATATCATATTCTATAGATTAATTAAAAACTTGGATGCAAGAAGTGAACGTTCGATTTTTCTCACATCATCAGGAAAATCAGAACGTAACATTTTGAATCCGGGTACGCTCCTTGTTCAAGAGTTTCGTGCGTTATTTCATTATTGCTATATTATGATGACTTCATTATTTTCAGTCATGACAGTCCAGTTACCCAACATAGCAAAATGCGCGTTCTACGATGGTATGACCGAGCCTTTTTTTTTTATATATATTGTGATGGTCCAAATAAAGTTATGAATGACATTTTTAGAAATTTTTCGATTGGTTCCGATCTCAAGACCGACATTGTGGGTATATCCAAATTGGTCATATAAGGATGTTAACATTTACTAAAGTCTGTTTCTGGTATAGTTTCTTCGACCTCATAATGGTACGCAAAGCGCATGAGCGCATAACGTCTGTCTAGTAATTATAATGTAAGAAATTATTCCAACAAATTATATGTAGCAGATAGTTGTAAAGCTGGCCATTTGAGTTTACAGTGAAATTTTAAAAACCCCATCGAGTTTCAATGAGATCATCTGGTGAATCAAAAATGGAAAACAAATGACTAATTTCTGATTTACAATGTACTTTATTCATTGGATTGTCAAAAATAATTTTCGCTAAGAAAGTCTAACAATAAAATTGTAATTGCCATCAATGCAGCAGAAATTTTCGTTCAATAATTATCCTAAGAGTAATGTTGCCATACAGGATGCGTGGCGCCAGCATCGAATGTATGCATAATTTCTCCTGGATTTCAAGTATAAAACTGTTATTACCCATATCATCGCCTCAGGTCTTTTTTTTCTCCTATTGTCTCGACTTTCTTTTTTGTCAACTAACAACATCCGACCCCAAATAGCTGTGGTAGGCAATATAACGCACTATCCAAGCTCATTTGGTT